TCAGCCATTGTTGTACGAGTGGAGCAAATGCAGTTGGTAACGCAAAAAATTCCCCTGGTTTGGAACCAAATTGTGTCAGCAGAGAGTTGACAGCGCGTAAACCGTTCTTGTCACGTGGTCTTGGCTTGGTCTTTTTATTTAAAGTCAATTAATTGTCAATTAATATAACTAATAATTATTAAATAAGATTTTATTGATTAAATTTTATATTTTATTCAAATTAAAACTCCATATTTTGTATATAAACTACAAACTTTAAATCCAACATAAAAGCATTTTAAATTTCGCGGTCTGTCAAATGGTGTTTATAATTTTTGTTTTTGTTAAGTTTCCGCCAGGTCTGCTCCACGGTGACGATACTATGTGTTTTCTAGGGGCTATAGTAAAAGTATTTAGTTAAATTTAGAAAATCGTCGAAAATGGGTCGAAATTTGCTAGTACTTGCCAAATAACCTACCCTCCACGGAAATAAAAGGCGGCTAGTACTTGCCAAAATAAGACTCATTTTTACAAATGACCTCTTCTAAGAAAATGTACTAGAACCGCCCACCCACCCTTTGTTTTCTTCGAAGAGTAGGTCATCTGCCAAAATCAGTCTTATTTTAACAAGTACTAGCCCCGCCCACCCGCTCTTTGTTTTCTTAGAGAGTAGATTATTTGCCAAAATCAGTCTTATCGTAGTGAGTATACTACCAGATTTTTCAGTTTTTCGATTTTTCAATTTTCAAATTTTTCAGTTTCTCGCTTTTTAAATTTTCAATCTTTTTAATCTGTCTTTCGATTTTTGATTTCTATGGGCAACTGAAGAAAACTTTCGATTTTTTAATTTTACAATTTTGGCAGTTTTCAATTTTTAGATTTTTCAAAATTTCGGTTCGAATAAATTTGTTGTTTTAGTTAAAAAATCGAAAAATGACAAATCTTGAAACGGAAAAATTTTGACTTGATAACTTGAAAAATTAAAAATCAAAAAATTCAAAATTGTAAAGCTAAAACTTGTCAAACAAATTATCAAATGAAATATTCAAAAGTTGAAAAATCTAAAAACTAAAAAAAATTAAAACTGGAATTACGAATTCGATTTTATAAGATTTGTTTTTTTTCCAAGTTTTCGATATTTCAGTTTTTGATTTTCCGATTATACAATTGTACAATTTTCCGATTTCTCATTTATCCGATTTTTCAATTTGGCATTTTTTGATTTTTAATTTTTATTTTTAGGAAGTACTAACCCCACCCACCCAGCTTTTGTTTTCTTAGCAGAATAAGTCATCTGCCAAAATCAGTCTTATCTTGGCAAGTACTAGCCCCCCGCCCACCCTCCCTTATTTTCTTAGAGGATATGTCATTGGCCAAAATCAGTCTCGTCTTGACAAGCACTAGCCCCGCCCACCCACCCTTTATTTTCTTAGAAGAGTGGGTCATCTCCCAAAATCAGTCTTATCTTGACAAATACTAACCCCGCCCACCCACCCTTATTTTCTTAGAGAATATGTCATTTGCAAAAATCAGTCTCATACTTGCGAAGATAAGACTAATTTTGACAGATGACCTATTCTTTATTTGCTTAGAAGAGTAGGTCATTGACCAAAATGAGTCTTATTTTGGCAAATACTAGCCCCACCCACCCGCCCTTTGTTTTCTTAGAGAGTAAATAATTTGCCAAAATCAGTCTCATACTACTAAATTTTTCAGTTTTTCGATTTTTCAACTTTCGAATTTTTCAATTCTCGCTTTTTAAATTTTCAACTTTTTGATCTGTCTTTCGATTTTTGATTTCTCTGGGCAACTGAAAAAAACTTTCGATTTTTTAATTTTCCTATTTTGGCAGTTTTTTCGATTTCTCAATTATTTGATTTTTAAAAATATCGAGAAAATAGATGTTTATTTTTTTAATTTTCGATTTTTGATTTTTTGTCACCGAATTTTTGGAAGGGAGTAAAAAGTCATTTTGATCAGCGACTTGCCATGTTCACCGTAACTTTAAAACATCTGAAAATTTTGTTTCTAATTTTCAATTTTTAGATTTTTGGATGTTTCAAAATTTCGGTTCGAATAAATTTGTTGTTTTAGTTAAAAAATCGAAAAATGACAAATCGTGAAAAGGAAAAATTTTGACTTGAGAACTTGAAAAATTAAAAAACAAAAAATTCCAAAATTGTAAAGTTAAAACTTGAAAAATCAAAAGATTGGAATTAAAAACTGCAAAATTGTCAAACAAATTATCAAATGAAATATTCAAAAGTTGAAAAATCTAAAAACTAAAAAAAAATGAAAACTGGAATTTCGAATTCGATTTTATAAGATTTATTATTTTCAATTTTTCGATATTTCAGTTTTTGATTTTCCGATTGTACAGTTGTACAATTTTCCGAATTTTCAATTTGTCATTTTTTGATTTTCAATTTTTTTTATTTTTTAGCAAGTACTAACCCCACTCACCCAGCCAGTTTTCTTAGAAGAATAAGTCATCTGCCAAAATCAGTCTTATCTTGGCAAGTACTAGTCCGCCGCCCACCCGCCCTTATTTTCTTAGAGGATATGTCATTTGGCAATATCAGTCTCATCTTGACAAGTACTAGCCCCCCCCCCCACCCGCCCTTTATTTTTTTAAAGAGTGGGTCATTGCCAAAATCAGTCTTATCTTGACCAGTACTAACCCCGCCCACGCACCCCTTATTTTCTTAGAAGAGTGTGTCATCTGCCAAAATCAGTCTTATTTTAACAAGTGCTAGCCCCACCCACCCGCCCTTTGTTTTCTTAGAGAGTAGATGATTTGCCAAAATCAGTCTTATCGCAGTGAAAACTACTAGATTTTTCAGTTTTTCAATTTTTCAACTTTCGAATTTTTCAATTTCTCGCTTTTTAAATTTTCAGTTTTTTGATCCGTCTTTCGATTTTTGATTTCTTTGGGCAACTGACAAAAACTTTCGATTTTTTGAGTTTAGAATTTTGGCATTTTTCCGATTTCAAAATTATTTAATTTTTAAAAATATCGGGAAAATAGATGTTTATTTTTTAAAATTTTCGATTTTTGATTTTTGTCACCGAGTTTTTGGAAGGGAGTAAAAAGTAATTTTGATCAACGATTTGTCATGTTTACCGTAACTTTAAAACATCTGAAAATTTTGTTTCAAAATTTCGGTTCGAATAAATTTGTTGTATTAGTTAAAAAATCGAAAAATGACAAATCTTGAAACGGAAAAATTTTGACTTGATAACTTGAAAAATTAAAAATCAAAAAATTCAAAATTGTAAAGCTAAAACTTGAAAAATCAAAAGATTGGAGTTAAAACCTGCAAAATTGTCAAACAAATTATGAAATGAATTATTCAAAAGTTGAAAAATCTAAACACTAAAAAAAATTAAAACTGGAATTACGAATTCGATTTTATAAGATTTGTTTTTTCCAAGTTTTCGATATTTCAGTTTCTGATTTTCCGATTATACAGTTATACAATTTTCCGATTTCTCATTTATCCGATTTTTCAATTTATCATTTTTTGATTTTTTTTTTTTTATTTTTAGCAAGTACTAACCCCACTCACCCAGCCTTTGCTTTCTTAGCAGAATAAGTCATCTGCCAAAATCAGTCTCATCTTGACAAGTACTTGACCCGCCCACCCACCCTTTATTTTCTTAGAAGAGTGGGTCATTTGCCATCCCGCTTAAATGCATAAACACTTAATATTTAGCACATTTTAGATAAGATTTATCTGGCAAAATTTTAAGATGAAATTTCCAAGCAGTTTTAAGGTAAATTGTAATTGATTGTAAATGATAATTTTACAACATCTCCAAGATTTCAAAGCATTTGGTTTTGTAGTTTCTGTAAATCCAAAAAATATGAATGGAATGATAAATTACAGGTACAGACTCATCATATTTTCTACATTTTAGAAAGGATTTATTCGGCAAACTTTTGACGTGACGTCATCAATTTTTTGGCGGGAACAAGTAAATATATTTTGAATAAAAACTTATCATGCTTATCATAACTGCTCGGGAAGTAAAAAGCATAGTAGTGAATTTTTATCACATTCGTACTTACGGAGCAGTTGCATGTTAGATATAAGTATTTATCGGTCGACATAAACTAGACGTCATAAGTTCTGTTTGTAAAATATTAAGAAGTTATTGTCACTTTATTATAGTATATACAGTTGACGTCAGCCGAGAACTCCCTGTTACCATTCAAATATTTAAACTGACGACATGTTTCACCATGCATCTGGTGTCTACGTATACGTATATGTATATTTTCGCCAACTGTATAAATACCGATTTATCAGCAACAACCAGCAACTTTCTTATAACACAAAGCAAAATTTACATGAATACATTTAGTGAATGCATAAATTCGTAGCAGAACCGTAACTTTACAAAAGTGGCAAAAATCTAATAATTTTGCAAGTGTGAAGCAACCTTAAAATCACATGATAGCACATTGGATTCTATATTTGAATGTGCATTATGAATTCAGTCTTTTAACACCCACAGCAACAGAGAAAAGACACACCACCGGCTATTTTTAACATTCAGGGCCAAACAAGCTTGAGCTTGCTTTGGCGCCTATTTTACAAAAATACAGCACTCACAAACTACCACAAACGTAAATTAGTTTCAGAATGTTCTATGTACTGCGATGCCACGATGTTCATATAGAAACAACCATGTATAAATAATATACACTTATCGTATCTTACTATTACAAAAAGTGCCAAGTTCAGCGCATAGGTGTTTCGAAGTATGCACACTTTATTAAATCCGAAATATTCATTCCTATCAAAAGGCGAACAAATTTTTATAAATTTGAACAAACGATGCGACCCGTGAATAAAAATAAACACGTGCCTTCCTATGTTCCTGTTACATAAAGGTCGCGCCGAATGTTTGCAACGACTAAAATTCGCTAATCCGTGGAAACTTCGAACCCAAACTAACGTTCAAAACAAGGAACTGAAAAACATCTACTAATAATACGCTAGGAGTGAACTTACTTGACACCGGCAAACGATGTCTACGGTTTCGGCCAGCATGTCCACGACCTTTCCCTTGCCTTCGTCACCCCATTGCGCTCCCAGAATCACTATCGCTTTCGATTCGGCGGGGACAATCCGAGGTCTTTTCCGGGGCGAGCCATTTGTGGCACTCAGTCCGTTTACTTCTACGCTGGCCATTTCTTGGCTACCTAACTGTGCACCGACACTGTGGACTCGACAAACTAGCGACGACGACGGACAACTTCGAGGCAACCTAGAACCTCAACTCAACCTTGCGTTGGCATCATAAATGAGAAAGGAAATAGATAGTCCACTCTTTTAGCAAAATTATGCACAGCGATCTGGCGCCATCTACAACTTCCACTTAAAAGGTTTGTTAGACATCTATACAGCCGAACATAGTGGGTGCGGAAAATAATGTTGACGTTTTAATGCTGGGTTTATGGTTTGATGAAACCGCACCCGTTGTCGTAACGATTGGAGTTGTAATTGTAGTACGCCTAAATCCAAAATATTTATAATTTCTGTAATGCAAAAAATACGCATGCGCAGCAAATGCTGCCACTTTGCGCGCCAGCGGCGCCACCGTCAATAAATATAATAAATGAAAACATACTTAATTTGTGTGTAATACCTGTTATTGTAATAATTAACGAAATTTTTATGACTTCGCGAATTTCATTGTCACTAGTTGGAGCACCAAAAACGTCAAAACATGCCCGAATTAATTAATTAATTGTGACTTAATTAATTAGTTAATTAATTAGTTTGCGATTTTCATTTGGTATCCTATTTGTTGGCGCGTACGGTTTGGTTGGTTTGGACTATAATTTCTGTGGGAAATAGTTGTTTGGTCGGTTTTTATAACGACTAAGTGAATATTTTTGGTACATATTTAGATGATTTTACATATTTTGTTTAACTAAGAATTAATTCTTTATTTGTGTTTTATACTGCAAAACGTCTTAAACTAAGAATATTGTAGAAATCGTAATAACCCAATGGATTTTTTTTGGGAAAATGTTTTGGAAACACTGTATTCTATTTTGTATGAATTTTTTAATGTTTTTAGTGACAATTTTTGTGGTTGTTTTCAATACACTGTATGGCATTAACAGTGAAAAAAAAAATGAAAAATTAAAATAATCGAAAATTAAAATAATCGAAAATTCGAAAAATCGAGAAATTGAAAAATCAAAATCTCAAGAAATCGTTGAGTCGAAAAGTCGAACAATTGAGAAACCGAAATAGGCCAAAATCGAAAAGTTAAAAATTGAACAATTTATAAATTGAGAAATTGACAATCAAAATATCGAAAAATCCAAATCTCGATAAATCGAGAAATCAAAAAACTTAAAAATTCGAAAAATTGAAAAATTGAGAGACGGAAAAATCAAAAGAACGAGAAATCGAAAAGTGATGAAGTCGAAAAATCAAGAAATAGAGAAATCGACAAACAAAAAGTTAAAAGTTGAAAAATTGGAAAAGTGGAAAAATCAAAAAACGAAAAAATGGAAAACTGGAAAAACTGAGGAACCGAAATAAGCCAAAATAAAAAATTGAAAAACTGATAAATCGAAAACCAGAACGATCAAATCTGGATAAATCGGGAATGAAAAATTAACAATCGAAAAACTGAAAAACAGAATATTTAAAACCAGGAAGTCGAAAAATAGAGAGATTAAGAAAAATCTAAAATTTAAAAATCGAAAAAGTTAAATGCAGACACATCGAAAACTCCAGAAGCCAAAAATCGAAAAGTTCAAGAATCGAAATATTGAAAAATCCCAAAACTGAAATATCGAAAAACTGAAAAATGATAGAAAAACTAAAAAATGGAAAACCTGAAAAATCCGAAAACTGAAATATCCAAAAACTGAGAACCTAAAAAGTCGAAAAATTGAACAATCGAAACATCCAAAAAATAAAGTCGAAAACTCCAAAAAGTGAAGTCGAAAAATCGAGACCTTAAAAAAACTAAAAAGTGAAAAATCAAAAACCTGAAAAATCGAAAAATTAAAGCATTGAAGAACAGGAATATCGAAATCCTCGAAAGTCAAAAAATGGGAAAATCAAAACATCGATTAATTGAAAAATCCAAAAATTGAGAGTTTATAAATGTCAAATTTGAAAAATTGAAAAATCGAAATTTTGAAAAAACGACAGTTGAAAAACAGAAAATATATAACCGGGAAGTCGAAAAATCGAAAGATTAAGAAATCGAAACATTTGAAAAATTGCAATATAGAAGAGCTGAAATGAAAAATCGAGAAATCGAAAAATCTAAAATTTTAAATATTGAAAAATTAAAATACCAAAAAATTTAAAAATCTAAAATTTAAAAATCGAAAAAGTAAAAAGTCGACACATCGAAAAATCCAGAAGTCAAAAATGAAAAAGTCGAAGAACTGAAAAATGAAAGAAAAACTGAAAAATCGAAAAACTGAAGAATCGAAAAACTGAAAAATCCCAAAACTGAAATCTTCGAAAACTCTAAAGAATCGAAAAATTGAGAAATCGAAAAATCAAAAAAGTGAAGTCAAAAAATCGAAACATGAAAAAATAGAAAAATTGAAAAACCAAAAAACCTGACAAATCAATTAATTGAAAAATCGACAAATAAAGAATTTATAAAAGTCCAAAATTGAAAAATCGAAATATTTCAAAATCGTAAAATTGAAGAGAAAAACTGAAAACCGAGAAATTGAATAATAAATAGGTGTAAACTGAAAAGTCCCCAAACTAAAATTTCGAAAAACTGAGAATTCGTAAGTTGAAACTGCAAGAAATTATGGTCGAAACCGGTTAGGATGTGTATCAGATCACGGATCATAGTTTATAAATCAAATCGTTTCCGAACGCTTAGAGTCGACATTGGCCTGAGTGCGCTCTGGTCTGTAGTGATCAAACAAGTTCTCAGACGACGATGTGTCTTCAATGATCGACACTCAAATGTCCACCTCATGAAATTGTTTTAGATTGATGTGATGATGCGAGTTTAAAAAGCGGTATTATCGCAATATACTACACTAATTTACTTAAATCAGAAAAATAAAGGTAACATTTTTATCACATAATAAGGGGAATCATAACAGCGTATCCATGATCACGAAAAATGTTAACATTAAATTATTCATTATAAACATGAAGATCTAGAGCAACTGAGTTGCACCGATGTTACACAAGTGTGGGGGCCAAAGGAAAAAAAGTGGTTGGCGAATTTTAATCAAAAGCAAAAAAAGGCCTATCCTCTAAGAAAATAAAAGATGGGTAAGCCAGGTTAGTAATTGCCAAAATAAGAGTCATTTTGACAAATAATAATAATGATTTTATTTCGTATTTTTGCACTTAAATTGCTTATACACGTCATTAAAATGTATACATACAGTGTTATATTATTCTTATAACAAAGATCTTAGTCAAACATCACAATTTTACATTTTAAAAATTCTTCATAACTGTAGAAAGCCTTTTTAATTAAAAAAGATTTCATGAAGCTTTTAAATCTAGGCAATGGCAAGCTTTTCACCGATTCTGGTAGAATATTATAAAACTTAATAGAGAGATAATTAGGTCCAATTTGACACTTTTTTAAACGATGATAGGGTGTAATTAGTTTTGATCTGTTTCGTGTATCATGACTGTGAAAACAGTTGTTGGAATCGTATTTACTTATATTTTCTTTTAAGTGAAGTAGGCAACTCAATATAAAAACACAAGGACATGTTAAGATGCCTAATGAAGTGAACGATTCTTTACAGTCATCTTGATATCGAAGTCCTGAAAATAATCTCACCGCTTTTCGTTGCAATGAAAATATTCTGCCAAATTCCGCCGCTGATCCCCACAAAAGGATGCCATAAGAAATTAGAGAGTGGCAGATCCCAAAGTAAGCAGCCTTCAGTGTTAAGCCCGACACAGTCCCACTCAAATTCCGCAGTAAATAAATATTTTTTGCAAGATTACCTGCCAAATAATCTATATCAATGTAAACACCCAAAAATTTTACACTGGACTTTAAAGTGTGATTTGGAACGTTTTCAAAATTTTTTAGGGTAAAAATGACATCGTTTGTCTTCGATTCATTTAAAACCAAGTTGTTTTTAGAGAACCAATCGGTAAGTTTATTTTTTTATTCTAATATGCTAGCTAATAACTCGATAAGTGTTGTACTTCTTTGATAGACTGTTGTGTCATCAACATAAAGAGTATACTTGGAAAGAGTATCTTGCGCTGGTAGATCGTTTATATATATATATATATATAATGAATAATAAGGGTCCTAATATTGATCCCTGCGGTACCCCAGTGTTAATTTTTCTTTTTGTTGATAACACGTTGTTCACCCTGGTCGACTGATAGCGGATTGATGAATACGAGTCAATGAGTTCAATACTGCTCGGTGCAAAATTGTACAATTTTAATTTATCGATCAGTAAATTATGCGACATGCAGTCGAATGCTTTACTTAAATCGCAAAACACTGCATACATGTATTCGTTTTTGTGGAAAGTTGTTAATATTTCAGTTATTAAGTTTAGAATTGCACCAGTTGTATTGCGATTTTTGCGGAAACCATGCTGACTGCTAGTGAAAAGATTATTTTTTTCAAAATGAATTTGAATTTGAGAAGCCATACATCTTTCAAAAATTTTTGATATTGCTGGCAGAAGCGATATGGGTCTATAATTCGATATTTCCCCAAATTGTCCCCCTTTATGAATGGGAATCACCAAACCCTCTTTCAATTTATTAGGAAATTTGCATTCTTCAAAGCATGAATTAATAAGCTTTGTTAAGGGAACAGTAATTAGATGCTTGATAGTTTTAAATATAGTAACTCGAATACCGTAAATGTCCGTACTGGTGGTATTTTTTAGGGAAGTTAGATGGTCTCGTACTTCGTTAAAAGCCGACTTTAGTGTATCTGAATTGAGGTACAGAAGTTGAATTAGTTGTCATATTCATGTTGTGTACATTAAGTGGACTATTCATGTGGGTATTTTTTAGGACATTTTTAGCTATGTTTATGAAGTAATCATTAGCTTCTTCAGCTGAAAATGGTACTGATTGAGAGGATTTTTTATTTTTACGACCGGTATTTATGATATTCCACATAGATTTAGCTTTATGGCTTGATTTTTCAATGAGTTTATCGTTGACTCGTTTTTTAGCAGTCACTATGGATTCCTTGTAAAGCCTTCGATATTCATTTCGTCGTTTCAGTGAATCAGGAGTTCTCTGTAAATGATGTAACTCATTCAAAAACGCGAGACGTTCACGCATTTTTTTCAACTC